CCCCCCCCCCCCCCCCCCCCCCCCCCCCCCCCCCCCCCCCCCAAAATGGAGGGAAAGATAAGGCGTTCATTGTTGATACGGGGATCCCCGCATATTAGTTGTTTCGATGATGATATCTCGCAGAATGTGAGGCGGAAGTGCTGCTTTCACATGTTTCCCTCGGACAAAAGGGTGCTTGCAACACTTACACCAGGCCGACCAAGAGAAAAGAAAAACGTGGTTTACATATATGTACATGAGGAGAACCTCTGTGTTTATCTTGGTGAGGCTGATGCGATTATTCTGAGGCCCAGATGAGGTTTGAACACCAGCTGCACCATGACAGCTGCACACTTACACTTGCACTCAATTGTATGCACGACATTCCCCGCACGGAGGATTCCGAACCAAAATCCATCCAGCTCACCGAAACCAACCAACCAGCTACTAAGGTATCTATTATCAAGTACCGAATGTAACATTCCTGTATTGTACAAGTATTTTAATACCAATTCAGAACAAGAACAGCTGGCAGCTTTCGCCTCACTGTCCGCACACCACCCGTATTCAATGCTCGGTCAACCCATTTCGCCGATTCGCGTCTTGTGTTCCGCCTCACTTTTTTTTTGTTAGCTGATTCTGCCACTTTTAGCATCAATATGTAGATGTAGATGTAGATGTAGATGTAGATGTAGATGTAGATGTAGACGAAGACGAAGACGTAGATGTAGACGAAGACGAAGACGTAGAGATGGCTCGGCCTATATAAATCGGGGTGTTTCTTCAATGCCCATCTGCCTTGACTGGCTTCAACTCTCTTCCATCATCAAGAAAGATATCATTCACATACTACAAGTCAACCCCATATTTTGAAACTCGTCTCAATATGACTTCGGGCTTGTCTGAGGGTCTTGCTCAGCTCAGCAGCAATCGCAGAGCCGGACAGCCTCGCCGTCCCGAGCCACAGCAATCCTCCCTCCAACCACCGGCTCATCAAATAGGAGGGCGAGGCCCTGCGCAAATGTCTCCTCCAAGGCAGTCCATGATGCAGCCTCGCCCTTCATCATCCTATAGTTCACATGTTTCCCCAATTCCAACACACAATGCGCGCGCATCACATCAGCCAGTGTCTGAGTCTCAGCCGCGGCGAAACATGGACATGATTGATATCCGCGACGAGAACATCACTGAAGCAGAAGCCCGCAAACGCCTCTCCTCTTACATTGTCGTCCATATTGAAAGATTAGCCGATCCATATGACCTCGACGATGAAGGCAACCCCGTACGTGCAACCTGGGAGAAGGCAACACACACAGCACAAAGAGACATCTCTCAGGAAGAGACGAGACGCAAAGTTCGTGAGCTAAATAAGGAAACCGGCTCGGTGACGGACAAGAAGAATGAGCTTTCTTCAGCAATCCAGCGGCAGCTGGAGCATGCGTGGGATAAGCTGGATAATATGGAATCGGACCCTCGCTTCGTCTACACGCTCGCTCAGTTGGACTGGAGGCTCAAGAGAGTTGAAACCAAAAGTCATGATAGAAAGCATGATAAAAGAAGCAAGGATAAGAAGAGGGGCAAAGAGAAGCACAAGTCCAAAAGGTCGCCATCAAGATCAAAGCCTAAGAGAGAGCGAGTATCAGTGACGGCATACTTCAAAAGGGAGCCAGGGCGCCATGAACACTGCTTGAAGATGTTGAGGGCCCAGCAGCTGGAGAAACAAGAACATGGAAGCAGAAGTCTGCCGCTCAATGAGCATCTTCCCATGGTGATCCCGGGTCAACCACCTCGCCCACAGGCTGTTGCGTATAACACTGCCCGTTCTCTACCACATTTTCAGGCTCCCCAGCCTGCGTTTGATCCTCAGGTTCAATGCCGTTTCCCATTGAGCCAGCCTTCAAACATCATGGTCACTCGTCCTAATGGACCAGCTCCTCCACCTCCTCCATCTCAACCACCGTTATCATTATTGCCGGCCCGGATTGCTCCTCCTGCTCTTCCATCAATCTCTTCACGAAGCAACCTCTCTCAAGCAATCGAAGCCCAAAACCGCAGGATTCAATCAAACGCACCGAGAATGGAGCGCCAGCCTACAGCAGGGTCGCACAACTCCAGAAGCTCCGTCACCTCCTTCAGCTCTCTCTCCAGCGAAGAGTCTGATGATAACATCCCTACACCAAGCTCGTCCGTTGGCCACAGTCCTCCTCAGCATGACGGGCAAAGAGGCCGAAGCAGGTACCGCCAGCATCAAGATGGAGGCGAATCCGTTGCGCTGGAAGTGGCCCGCCGTCAGAGACCCGCCGATAGATTCGTTGGTATTCCTCCTCCAGCGCCTGATCCTATCAAAGCAGTGCCAGACGCAGACATTCCGAGGCGCATAGAGCAGAGAGCGTACCGCGAAGGCGTCATGGATGCACCTGCGATGGCAATATCCATGCCTACGGGGAACGTGGGCTCATCACGCCAGCCTCGAATCATACAGGGTCCTCCAGAAAGCCAAAGATCTCTTGCTCATCACTCAGCACGATACTCTCTGAGCAGTCAAGACATGGATCGATTGGGAGAGAGATTCAGCCGGACATCACTAGCAGATGAGCCCCGAAGTCGCCCGGAGTCACCAAGACGATATCGCGATGATTCTAATGACGAGGTTTTGGTGTCTGGATCGAGTCGCGGTCCATGGAGAAGGCAAGATGCTCAAAGATACATGGCAGACAGAAAGCGAACAGATCAAGATGCGTGGGATCTGGGTAGCAGCGGTCCGTTGCGATATGGGGGGAAACAAAGAAGAGGGACGAATTATGCAGGATATGAGAAGTGAAGATGGAATTTGTTGTAATTTGATGTGTTTGCAATCGTCTTGGTTTGTTCTTTACACTGGACAGCTCATTACTTGGCTCTTCGTTGACGGCTAAATTGGCTTCAAGATGGAAATTGGTAACAATTAAGTATGCAATATGACTAAGTTAAAAAAAAATACTAAGCTTTTCAGACCTTGAAATTAAGAAATATCAATTATTGCCTCGTATTTATGGTGGCTTGGAGTTGTTATTTCAAGATGTCATTGTTTCTCTGCTCTCCGGTATGCACCATTTCCACCAACTGCCGCTCCTTACATATATATAGAAACTGATTTCTCCATCACCACTACCTTCATCTTACAATTGAGTAAATATACATAAATTCTATACACACAAGCAATTATTTATCAATCTTCCGTAATATTGTCTAGATTGGAATTCCAGATAGCCACTTCCTGACTTATTTGCTCAAAGTTCAACGCTGTAGGTTAGTGACGCAAATGCCCGTCGGCTGAGCTTGCAAGGGCTAATACGGTACAAGCACACATCGCCATTAGCCAGGTACCTATCGTTTAACACCCAGCTGCATGTTACACAGAATATGTAACTCAATGGCCCGTTGACAAAAATTATATTTCAACCGTTTCTTCCCCCCTATTGCTCCATTTCCTTGGAGGCTTATCGTTAATGTAATTGTAAGTGTATAGTAATAGTAGTAGATGCTTAAGAGCGTGCAGCAAGAAAGTGGTCAATCGCGGATGACTAAGCCTGTCGTGTACAAGCAAAACAAACCATTGAACCTTGAGCTTGCATGGATACGCGACCAGCTCAGCGCGTTGATTGATTGCACAGGTTGACAGGCCCTAGACGCGCCTTCGTCAATATGCACTAGCAGCATCTCGATCTGGCAGTAACTGATTGATGGTATCGGCTCGGCACTGCTCTTCCTTCAGGCCTCGCCTCTCCCCCGGCGCCTGTATATGATCTTCCTCTTCAACCTCGCTGTCCGACCCTCGCCGACCTCGCGGAGCCTTCAGAGGGCAGCGCGTCTTGCCCATGTCCACTCGACTCGCCCGTCTTTCGACCCGATGTTCACAAAGGCTCACAAGGCTTTCAAGGCCAATGAAGCCCCCGGTCGCAATCCCTTGGCCAAGCAGCTGTTCCCGTCCAGCAGCCCTGCGGCTCCCGTGACCGACATTCGAGACCAGCTCAAGAAGCCCGCGGCCAATGCCAACAGCGTTTCCGCCTCTGCCTCTGCCTCTGCCTCTGCTTCGTCGGCGAGGACAGCCCCATTTTCGAAACCTCTGCAGGACCGCTCGTCGGGCCTCATGCAACAGCAACAGCAACGGTCCATGACCACCTCGAGCGGCGCCGCCACGCTGGCGACTCTCTACAACCATTCGGATTCGTTCAAGGACGTCGATGTCGTTGACCTTACTGGGGCCGACACAAAGACAAAAGCAAAGATTCAGGAAGTCTATTTTGAAGAAGACGATTTTAGCGACGATGCCGATCTTGACCTTGATTTTAAGCCTCCCTCTGGGCTTCCCGTCCTCCCCGACCCAAAGCCAAAGCCGATGGAAGAAGATATTCTCCCTCCGTCTTCTGCTGCACCCCCGCCATTGACTCAAGTATTAGACTGGTCCTCTTCTCCTACATCACATTACTTCCCACCTCAACCTCAAAAGATAGCTGCTTCTTTGAAGCGTGATTCATCTGGCGAGAGTGAGCTGACGGGATTGCCCGCGCCAAAGAAAAAGCGAGTGTTGCCGGCAAGCTTCCGCTCAGAATCCAGTGACAGCCAAAGCCAGGATGCCCCGGTTGCTGCGATTGCCCCGCCTACAAAGCCACCGCGCATGTGGGACGCTCCCGTCAGTGCCATTAACGAGCAGAAGAAACAGTTCAAGATTCAGCAGGCAACCCGGTCGGAATCCCAAGGGCTAGACGAACAACCGCCCCAGTTTGGCAAATCCCACGATGGGGCCAAAGGCGATGCCATCCATCTGAGTAAGGAACAGGAGCATGTGCTCGACCTTGTAGTGAACCAGGGGAAAAGTGTGTTTTTCACAGGCCCGGCAGGAACCGGAAAATCCGTCTTGATGAGGGCCATCATCAACCAGCTCAGAACCAAGTATGCTCGAGATCGCGAGCGGGTGGCTGTGACAGCCTCGACTGGTCTTGCGGCGTGTAACATTGGGGGAATTACGCTTCACAGTTTCTCGGGTATGCCATACGTTGACGCTGCCGCAGGCCTAATGCCCGTCGGTTGATGTTTATCCAGAGACACAAACGTAACTAATCTTTTGGGGATAGGTATTGGCCTCGGAAAGGAAGACGCGGCTACTCTAGTCCGCAAAGTTAGAAGGAACCCTAAGGCCAAAAACCGATGGCTTCGTACCAAATGTCTCATCATTGACGAGATATCCATGGTGGACGGAGATTTGTTTGACAAACTGTCACAGATTGGAAGAACCGTTCGCAACAACGGCCGACCTTGGGGCGGCATTCAGCTCATCATCACGGGTGATTTCTTCCAGCTCCCACCTGTTCCTGATGGGGACAAGAAGCGTGAAGCCAAATTTGCCTTTGATGCTGCTACTTGGAGCACATCAATAGACCACACGATTGGTCTTACACAGGTTTTCCGTCAGCGTGACCCCAAATTCGCCGCCATGCTGAACGAGATGCGACTGGGGCAAATCACCCAAGACACAGTAGATACCTTCAAGAGGCTCGCAAGGCCACTCGAGTTCAGCGATGGTGTGGAATCGGCCGAACTCTTCCCTACGCGAGCACAGGTGGATGGGTCCAACGAGAGAAGGTTGAGAGATTTGCCTGGAGCGCCAACTCGATATGATGCAATAGACACAGGGGATGTCAACATCCGAGACAAGCTACTGGCAAACATGATGGCGCCGAAATCCATCGAGCTCAAGATGGATTCTCAAGTCATGCTCATCAAGAACTTGGATGGGTCCCTGGTGAATGGATCACTTGGCAGAGTCATCGCCTTCTCTGACGAGAGGACATTTGACATGAGCAACATGGACGACTACGACTCGTCTATGGACGACGCCATGGCAAAGGCGCGCAGGAAGCTGAAGGCCTTTAGCCGCGAACCTGATCCAGACGGGTCAGGCATGAAGTACCCTGTTGTGCGCTTCATTTCTACAGATGGCGTGGCGCGCGTAATCCTTTGCCAGCCAGAGGAATGGAAGGTGGAGCTTCCCAACGGAGAGGTTCAAGCCAAGAGAGTCCAGCTCCCCTTGATTCTCGCGTGGGCCTTGTCCATCCACAAGGCCCAAGGCCAGACTCTGGAGAGAGTAACGGTCAATCTGGGACGGGTGTTTGAAAAGGGGCAGGCTTATGTCGCACTCAGCCGTGCCACCAGCCAGGAGGGGCTGCGAGTCTTGGGCTTTGACAAGAATAAGGTCATGGCTCATCCGCGCGTCATTACGTTCTATCGGCAGCTCTACAGCGCCGAGGAAGCAGCGGCGAAGAGGCCAAACTCGATTACGGATTTCATCGCCAATAGGAAGGGCCTTGTAGATACCCAGGTTCGAGAGGTTGTTGACCTGGACTCGGAAGAAGAGCGCGCAATGGCATATTAGCGAGTCTCCCCTTGTTTTTGTCATGTCGAAACCGTAGATCAGAGTCATCTATGAAAATATTTGTATCACCACTTGATCATTCTTATCACTATATGATTCCCCTCATGGATGTCTACTAAGATACGGGAGTGAGGGACAGTTGCGATGCGGCGTCATTACCAGGCTCAACTTTAAGGGGTTCTAGACCAGCCCCAATGGAAACCAAAAGGTCTCAGCTTAATATAAAGTTGTCAATACTGCCCAAGACCCAAGAGCCTATCCATTCCGAGAGATGCTGTCAGGTGCAGAACAGTCTGAGACAGTCTGGGGGCCATTGGGGTGTGAACGGACGGAAACTCGGGGGGCACGTTGTCAGAGACGAAAACCCACCATCCACTTGATCCATAAAAAAAGACTGTTGAGAGACAGGGGAATATGAATCAGTCAGCGGACTTAGTCGTGGCTGTCTGGATACGGAGTTCGTATTACACTGGAGTAAGAAGATGATGGCACGAGTGAATCCCGCAGAGACGCCACAAATCGAGATGACAGCAGGATGCAGTGAATATGTACACGGACTAGCCGATGCGGCCATCTGTTCTATTACCATCTTTGTTCATGATATATATTTTCATTGAGTAAACAGTAGATACATCAGAACGCAGTTGGGGGGGGCTCTTCTGCAAAAGACACCAGACATAGTACTCGTAGCCATCCCGGGAATACTTCTGGGGTATTATGCCAGATTAGCCTCCTCGTGGGGCGTGTGGTAGCATTCGGTCAACATAGGTTAGGTAGACTTAGTAAGAGAGCTTGAGCTTATTACTACTGCAGATGGCAGCCCGTCAGTATGATCAATATGATGGCATCTGGAACAGTCATTGGAGCACCAGGCCAGGACTGGCGTGTGACAGCGGCTGGGGCGTGCCTGCAGGTGCCCGCGCCCAATTTAGTGGCTGGCTGGGTAAGATCCAGGCGCTGAACTTTACCACATAACAGCACTGGAGCGCGATTGCCCCGGCTCCTACAAGGGCTCCTACAGGGCTTCCTCAGCGCCGTTTCGCGGCTGGGGCAATGGAATTGATCCACGGATCAAGACGCGCATGGAAGGGCTCTGCTCGGCAACCCGTTTGAGCCTAGCGCAGCCACATCCCAAACCGCTTTCTTTCCGCCGCCAAAGTTGCCAGCCAGCATCCATATCGTCCACCAAAATTTATCGTCTTCATCCTCAACTCTCTTTTCGCACGCACTTTTCCACGTCTCTCTACCTGACCCGGCGGAGGAGAGGCAGCACCAGAGAGGACGGCATTTGAGTTTTCTCTTTGCCGCTGCTCGAATTGTCCCCACGGCCACGGCGAACCGCGCTCGCCCTCTTCCCGACTCGTTCTCCGACTGCGCGCGTGTCCCAAATTCCTCCCGACGTCGTTGCACCTGTTTGGAAGCTGTCCTCCACCTGCGCTGCTCTTCGTGACGAGATACCACCGATCGAGCGCCCACCGCGCCTCCGTCGTCTGGGATTCCTTCTGGCCGATTACAGCACAGCAGGCCCGGATCGATCTCCATTGGGGCCTTCGCTCTGCCATCATCTCGAACTTTACTTCCCAAAGGAAGCCTTTGTCGCGAGGGCTTGCCAGGGTAGTGCTTTGTTCCTAGATGACGGTGTAAAGGCCACAAACAACGGAGATTGCCACTCCCTTTGTCCTGTTTGACCATCAGGGAGACGACACAGCCGAGCTACGAGGGATTGGACCAGCAGCTGCCGCGCTGACTTGCATCTCAACATGGCGAGCCAGTTCACGGGCCTGCAGATGCGGGTGGTGCTGAGGGATCCTGCTGAGTACATGCTCACGGGCACGGTGAGCGACGTGCAGGCAGGGAGCTGCCTCACCCTGACCAACGGTAAGCGCGTTCCCTTTTTATTTTACTTTGTGTGTTATTGGCTTTCTTGCTTCATAACGTCGAGCGTGCACAAAACTAACCCACCGATACAGTCTTCATCGATGCGACGCGCGAGTGGGTTCCTCACATTCGAATCGATGCCGCCAACATTGCCGACCTCGAAGAAATTGGTTACGATGGACCGGATTCGAAGCCTCCAGCCCCAAAATACCCTGCCCAGCAGTCACCCAGTAAACCGCTGGTGCAGCCGCCCACGCAGCCAACCCAGCCCGCCTTTGTTGACCCAGCTATCCTGAGTCTAGGAAGGCGGCCCAAGTCGGATGCCTTGAGCAAACAAAAGAACCCACCTGAAAAGCCAGGCGATGAGACCGACGCAACGGCGCTGCCGGGCGTCCTGTATGGTATACACGTGGGGCGGCCATCGCTCGACTCGGGCGATGATGAGAATACTATTGTGGCGTCGGTGAAGGACTTGAAGATAGATCCAGTAGTCATTCCCAAGGATGTGTCCATTAGTAAATCTCGACCCTCCAAGGAGGTGTCAGGTTCCGCTCAGCAGCAACAGAAGAAGAAGGCACGGCGCCATCCCAAGGCTCACAAGGAGCATCTAGGCGAAGCGCAGGTAGCCGTTCAAACCCAGGGACATGGAAAGGGCTGGCGGCAGACCCCTATCCTACAGAGTACCGCCTCTTTCCAGCCCTTCGCTTCCCTCAAGCGAAATGGCAAGGGCGTCAAGAATCTCAAGGACAATGGGTGGGCATCCGAGGATGTCACCGAGGGGATGGGAGAATTCGACTTCGAAAACAACCTGGCCAAGTTTGACAAGCACAAGATCTTTGATCAGATGAGGAAAGAAGACCAGGTCGACGACGCGAGCCGCCTTGTAGCACACAACCGCCGGCCTAAGCCCGGAACGGCTGGGGGCAAAAACCTGCACTACTCTGAGAATGTCCTGGACTTGCCTTCGACCTCGCCGGCGCCAAATGCCGACTACTGGAACAGCGAGGCGGACGTTGGTGCCAACGGATCAGAGAGGCTGAGCGGTCGTGAGCCCAAGAATGGCAGCCAGACTGGCAAGCGGCCCGACAGCAAGACGGGAGGTCGGCGTTCACAGTCACGCAAGGCGAGCACTGCTGCTCCGGTTGGGTCGCAGCCCCTTAGTAGGGTCAACTCTAGCCTACGATATCAGGCATCTCGCCGCTCAAGCCCCACGACGGGGCATCGCAGCACCGACTACGAACAGCAGCAGCAGCAGCCCGGTCTCTACCTAATTCCCTCAAACCGCAGAGTGGAAACGATATCCACGCTCCAGATGCTCAATATCGAGAACATTGCCGCCAACGAGATTGGGTTTAGCGAGACCTTGATGGCGGAAAATGCGGGCAGGGGCATCGCCGAGGTAGCGGTTATCGCGCTGTCGGATCCAGCTACGAAAGTTCGGTTCGAGATGGTCGTGGCCGGAGCGTCAAGCGAGGCCACCGTGCGCTCGTCTACGATTGTGATTCTTGCCGGCAACAACAAGTCAGGCATCCGCGCGCTGGCCGCTGGCCGTCATCTACGAAACAAGAACTTTGACGTGGTTGTGTGTCTGGTCGGCATCGAGCGCGAGCGCGACCTGCTGGAGGACCTGAGGCGGCAGATCCAGCTCTACAGAAACTTTGGAGGCAAGGTACTGAGCAAGCACGATTTTTTCGAGTATCTTCGAAAAGGGTCTGCAGCCCCCAACGGCCTATCCATCTCTCTCATCATCGACGCGTTGCTGGGCCTTACCATGTCGTTTGAAGAGCTGAGAGTGGGTGATCAGGCGTCAGTGTACGAGCTGATGGAATGGGCAAACCGGAATGAGGCCTTTGTGCTGGCGGTCGATGTTCCTTCGGGGATTGATCCGACAAGCGGCAAGGTTGCCATTATCGACGGAGGCCACCTGTTCGTCAAACCACGCTACGTTGTCGCTATAGGAGCACCCAAGAAAGGGCTCCTAGAAGTCGTCACACCACCTCTCCACGACGATCCCTCCCTATCAACGAGCATTGCGCAAGAGGACGAATGGCGTCTGTTCATTGTTGATTTGGGCCTGGGCAGTGCAATCTGGAGAAAAGCTGGCACCAAGATACGGAGAGGCATCGAGTTTGACGGTAAATGGGTGCTGGAGATGAAGTACCGCGGAATCGAAGAGGACGAAGACGAAGACTAAGACCACAAAAAAAAACACACACCACTTATATACATATAGCTAAACGTTGTTACGAATATCAAGACAGAAGAACCAAAAACAGGATGGGAAAAAAAGGAGGGGGCATTGGGTTGAGGAACGCGATAAAACGAGGTTATTATGCATCTGCCTGGCCGGGGATTGGCCCGCGGGAGGCTTTTCAAAAGGAGTATAATAGCGAACTGTAATTATAAGACAGCATCATGAGGCGTCAAGAGGAGGTCGATTTCGAGTTTTCGACAAGAATGTATTCTACTACGCTTGAGGAGGGGATGATACCAATAGCAATACATGGAGGAGAGATTTCTAAACTGAATGGCTGGCTCGGCGTCTATTATTGTATTCCGCCTCAGGAAAGCTGCTGCGAAGGGTAATGCGGTACCTCCTCTTTAGGCCTATTACATACCAAGGTCAGGCAAGGTAGCATCGGCTCCCGGGGCTTCTAGAAGGTGGTAAGTGAAGATGCACCGGGAGTTCCAAGCAAAGACGAAGCGAGACTCGAGTGAGGATAGAGCAAATGCCAAGACTGCGGGATAGCGGAGACAAGCTTTGCCAAGAAGACGGCGCCTGGGCATGGGGGAAGACGCCAATGGAGCCTCTGCTGTCGCCTTTTTCGCCGTTCGCTTCTAGATCTTCCATTTTAAGGGGCGCTGAAGATTTCTTGGGGTCTGGAATATGCAAGCACCTCAGTAGGGCCTCTTGGCTTTGGGGGGGTGTGTGTGGGATGGGTTCATGCTCATTGATGCTTGTTGTTTTATCTCAAGGGGAGGGATGCGGCAACTGGCCGGGGATCCGATGGAGCTGAGATAAACTTATTGTGCTACTTTATTTTCGATGGAGCTCCACACAAGAGGCAACAAAAGTTCGCTCCGGGGGGCCTTACAGTATGCCGACTGCCTCTTTTGTTTGT